AGGTCATGATTTCAGGGTTGTGAGATCCAAACCAGTGTCGGGCTTCACTCTGGGCTGGAGCCCACTTGGGATTCTCTCTCTCTACCTCCTTCTGGCCCTTCCCACCCCATTCCTTTCCCTCTTTCAGAAAAAAAAAAAAAAAAAGGAAAAAAATCTTCATTTAAGTTCACTAAACAAATTAACGAGTCATTAACATCACATTACAAAAGATTCTTAATGATAGATCACTGACATAAATTCCTTATGGATTCTCTAATTTTTTGTATCTCATGTTCCAACAAACAGTCTACCAAACAACTTGTGTCATAACTAAAAACAAAAAGAACAGTTTTCTGAGAAAAATATTTATATATTTAAAAGAATTCATTTAAACTATCACTCAAAATTGAATTTTAGTTTGTAAAATTTTTCAGAGTTAAAACAGCATCAGAAATAAATTTTAGTAATACAAAATTATATCACATCTATAGACTAATATTTACTGAGGAAAGAGAGAAAACACATTCAATGTCTATTATGTACCAGACACTATGGTGGATATTTCACATATACTATCTTAGATTAATTCATTTTGTAGTCAGATAAAATTGGCATTTCTAAAAAATCATTCCACAGCTGGCAAAAGTGATTCTCAGAGTTGTCCACAATGGTTTAGAGTGAGGGCTCTGGAGTCAGGCTTTCAGGATTAGGATTCTGGTTCTAATCATCCACTTAAGTCTTGTGCCTTGAGGAAGTTACTCAGTTTTTCTCTCTCTCATCAGTAGATAGTATTAGATGAGATACTGTAGTTAAAGAGACTGGCACATAATAAGTACTCAGTAAATGCCATGTACTAATACTACTACACACCCTTGAACAATCCCCATCACCCAAGATCAGATAGTACATTACAGTGATTTGAGTCTTAATCTGTCTGAAATAAAGGAAGTCCTGCTCATTGTGTCACACTGTCTCTAAAGAGAATTTTTTGATTAGTGCATTTTTAGCTATTTGATATACGAAAGTCTATTTATACCTTACACCAGAAAACGTATTTTTTTCAAAGCAGATTCTTCCCATATTACACAAGGAAGATTTACTTTGTATCACATAAAGAATTTAATAACATATGTTCTGAAAAAAAGGAGGGTGGACCAAATGAAAAAGATCTGTCATTACAATGTATCTGATTATCCAAATCAAAGGAAAATGAAATTTCTAATTTACTGAGTCATTCTGATACAAAATACAAAAAAAAATGATTATTTCATGATTAGAGTTGTACTTCTTGAAATAATTTATTAATTATTTGTTTATTCTTTTAGTCAGTAACTATTTACTAGGTGTCTAATGAAAGACAATTTGTTTAGTTATTGCTCTCAATAGTCACTAGACTGAGACTGAGGAGTCCAATATAAAATAGTTCCTGAGGAAAGACAAAACATCCAAACAGCTTTGATCACTTGGCAGAATTACTCAAGGTGATCACAGAGCTTGAGAATCATTATGAATAGAAGAAATCACAATGGTAACTACATATTCGCCTAATTTACTTGTCAAAAACGGGTAACATCAAAAATACTGTTTGTGATGCCACAGGCTATTTAACTCAGTTCAGTAATATTTATCTACTCATTTTGTTGGTGAATTTTTTTGTGCCATGATAAAAGCTAAAACTACATATTAAACGAAAAGGTGACAAAATGTGTTATTCCTGGAAATTTAAGTACTAAAGGGAAAGCTATATAAGACCCAAAACCAAGCTAAAGAAAAATCATCTTAAACCCTTCTAGGCTTTTTTTGTCTTGGTATTGGCTTCAGAACCAATATACACATTTACACATCCTCTATATTAAGCCACCATATCTAGAAAATGGATAGATTAAAACCAGTTTTCATCACTACAACTAAAGTTCAAAATATGTCCTAATTAATTACTTAAGTCTCTATTGTAAATACTAACATTGGTAAAAAGTTCAAATATAAAGTAATACAGCCCATATTACAACAACTAATTTCCAAGATTAATGATATATAATTTTTTAAATATAAAGCCGTGGTATTAGAGAGGGTCTTGTAGATCACCTAGCCCATTGTCATGCTAACAAAACCCAACATGTACTGAGTGCTTACTATAATGATCTGCATATTTTATAACATTTAATCTAAATAATCCAATGTGCTATTATTATTGCAATTTTGTAATAGTGGAAAAAGAAGCACAAAATTGTTAACATATTCAAAGGTGCACTAATGATACAGTAAACTCGGGATTTGAACCCAAGACTGTCTGACTTGAAAGTCCACACATATAACAACCATAACACATATCCTTCATGATAAAAAAAAAAAAAAGCTACAAAAATTGTACACAGAGCCTATTTATAAAGACTCCAGAAAATAAATTATTCCTTCAATAAATTATTTTAATACTAAGCTCCCTATGTAGAATAAAACTCATCAAGATTTCTAAGGAAAGTAGAATAGTGCCACCAGAGAAACAATAAAGTTTCATAAAAAAGGACTACTGAGTGGAAGAAAAAACATGGTAACTAAATGCTTCACCTTAAAACACAGAAGAGAGAGAAGTAACTGATTTTATAGCTTAGTTCAATTTCTCCAAAAAGTAATGAAATATTAGATAATACTATTATTGTTGGCATAAGTTTTTATGCAAACAGATTTTCAAAAAAAAAGAATATATTTAATTTTCTCTGGAAATTTAAAAACTTCAAATAGGTTCTCATTCATCCAGAACAATTTAATAGTAACTAAAAATAAAATGATATATCCTATTTCAAGATTTCATTCATCTATATGAATTTATGATATAGCCAGAAAACAAGAAACTCTATCGACTCTGGCCTTGCAACTAAGAACCTGGGTTCTTCAAGTAGAGACAGAAGTCCCATTTAATAACTTGGTTTTAACGTTTTAAAAACCAAAAGACTGTACCACTCATGTACACACTTATCTGTAACGGCCCCCTTCAAAACTTGAAATAACAAAAGACCTTATTACTGATAGATACAATTTTCCACAAAAGAGCCAACCTCAGACATCAAGGGCTTTGACAAAATTAATGCAAAAGTATTAGATAAGAATTCAAAATAGCACATAACTGAATGCAGGGTAGCTTGGAATTGGGTATGTATTGTTACTAAAGAGCATAGTGATACTTTTCTTATTATATGTTTTCTGTTGGATTTAAACTAAGAACATGTATATCTGCAAAAGTTGAAGTTCTTTATTACAGAGAAAAATTAAGATGAATGATATAAAAAACTAAAAATAAATGAAAATGAAAATCAGAATGCTGACCCCTTACATTGTCTTCTACCTCCATGATGAAATAAATACAGTTTAAATACCAAAATATAAACATTTAAATGAGTTTTGAAGACAGGCAATGAAAAATAACCATGTGCCCTGGATGAATGGACCAGATAATCTGTTAAAATATGATTTTAGCCCTAAGATTTTATAATAGTTATTCATGTAGATATAAATTATTGTGATAGTTTTAGTTATAACATTTTCAAACTATATAATCTTTCTAATTTTTCTTCACAAACAACAAATTCCATGTCAGATTAAAATGATTATAGACAATATTAATTCATAAGGAATATTTAAATTACACATGGGAGTTTGCTACGACTATTTCATCCCCAACTTCTTTTCATAGAACTTACTAAGTTTTTAATTACTGATTACAATGTATATTGATGATTCACATAGATGATAAAGAGCAAAACATTTTGAATTTAGACCCAGGACTGAAATTTAAAGTTTTATTTTTCCACCAGGTTGATATCCACCCCCATCCCGGTGAAATTATTTAAGATCTTTTAGCAAAACAGTATCACAGCAGGGCATGATCTCAGGGTTCCTTTTTTACCTCAAAGTTTTTACTTCAAGACTCCAACCTTTACACTGATATAAAAGAAAGCATGACCCATGGATAGGAGCTGGATGTTGTAAATGTACAGATCCCATTTATATTCACGTTTATACTGTACATAAAGGTGGTCTCAATACAGGGACAATATTATTAGAAATTAAAATAGAATTTTGTTAATAGCTTATTTAGATAATAAATAAGAAAAAATCATGTTACATTCCAATGGACTTTAAATTTATTTTCCCATCTTTGCTTTATTCCCTAGGTTTTCCAACAATTCAAAAATTGGATAACCCATGAAAAACTTCACGTATATATGTGCATATTAGGGAAGCATTCCTATATTGTTTCTGGAATAAAAATGAATGTTTACCTATATATTTTTTTCTTGAAATTCTCCAAACATAGCAATGTACAGAGTAAAAATAGTTGTTAAAAATTCACATTGAACTTCTTATAGAAATGATTCTGTTATAAAATTAAATCAGCATTTGATGCATTAGGTATGTTTTTATAAACATATAAACATATAAAGCAAAGAAGCTACAGAATTGCACATGAAATAAGCCTAATTAGAAAATAACTGAATTTTTATATAAACACAGATATGCCACTGGGTAGATTTAGATTCTCATATATGAATTATATATAAAGGAAAGCTAATATCAATTCATATTATCCTAATATTATGATAACTTAAGTATAAAATAATACTAATATATAAATTATGTGACTGTTACCAAATACATTTTTTCGGAATGAACTTTACCCTAGTAATTTTGTATAAGTTAACAGGATTTCATGGATGATCCAAACCATAAAACATTTCTAAAGGTTAAAGTTGGGACTAGTATTTCTCCTCAATTTGCATTAAAATCATGCTACATCTGGTAAGAAGTTTTGATTTATTATCAAGGAAGTCATTCCTTTATGATTTTAAGTGTGTCAAGTTTTAATATTGTGTAAATATATATCTGCCTTAGTCCTAAAGAAACTTTTATTAGCACTTCAGGGATAAAAACCAAATATTATAACACATTTACACAGCATCGACTATGCCAGGCATAATCTAAGCGTGTAAAAATTATAAGAAATTACACATTTAAAGAAAACTTACCAGACAGTTGTTTCCACTTGACTGTCATTGAGCTGCCGATTGTCCAGTTGGGCAAAAAGTGGAAAAAGTACTTGAATCCCTCCAATTGAATGAATTGCACTATGAATTGAATGTGTTACTATAGCTTTCACATCCTATGTTCAAAAACAAAAATGTGTATTAACTCCTGAAGCATAAAGTTATCACTATTTCCTTGTTCTAAGTAACTTTGTGAAAAAATTTAAAAACACAGACATTTTAAATCCCTCACTTATAACATTTTTGATACACATATAAAATAAAAACTTGAAAAAAAAAAAACTTGAAATATCTTTGTCAACCACTTTTAAATTTGAATTTGAAGTTGAGATTTTTATATGGAAAATGTGAAGCTATAAATCAAAAAACAATTTAGAATAAGAAATATTAGTAGATTTAAAGATTTTCAAGTAATTTTTATTTGGGGTGTTATACTAGTACATTTTTTTTTTTTTTTAAGATTTTATTTATTTATTTGACAGAGATCACAAGCAGGCAGAGAGGCAGGCAGAGAGAGAGACGGAGAAGCAGTCTCCCTGCCGAGCAGAAAGCCTGATGTGGGGCTCGATCCCAGGACCCTGAGATCATGACCTGAGCCGAAGGCAGAGGGTTTAACCCACTGAGCCACCCAGGTGCCCCACTAGTACATTTTTAAAGCAAAGTATATGTTTGTATCTAACAATTATCTGTTCAGCTAATCAACCAATTTTCTTTCAAAGGATATAGAATAGACAAGATAACCGAGATGACAGATTCCCTACTAAGAAGACTGACTAATCCAGGGTAAAGTATATTGCCAAAAAAAAATAAAATAAAATAAGAAAATAAGGGAGAAGGCAAAAATGTCATTCAAAGAACTAGAAAACAAAAAAAGAAAAAGAAAAGCAACTATAGATCTACAGATTAGCAAGGTTTAATATGTAAAATACATACTGTTAATGCTTAATGAGAATATTAAACTATGCCACTATTCACCTACCTGGAGCATTAGAGCATGTGGGGAATGAACAAAAATTGATGCATTTTCCTTTGGTGATGATTCCAGGCATAGCTGAGCGTCAGTGGCCTTAGCATTATATGTAAATGCAATACTACTCGCAAGTTTCCCATCATACAGAACCTGTTTATGATGTTCTGCCAAATGAATGTCACTCTCAGATTTAAATTTGAAGGTGCTCTGAAAAAATAAAACTAAATTAAATACTCTTTTTAAATGTAACACAATAAAACTCTAAAGTTTTAAAGCAGAGAAACATTTAAGATAATAGACAATTTGTTTGACCCTTCCAAGCATCAGGCATTAGTCAGTGGTATTATTTTGTTATTCTTACTTCAATTCAAGGAGTTAAATTTTACTCATCATGTTAATAAACACAACTCATCTGCACATTTTGGTTTTTATTTATAAAATAATTTTATTAGAAAAAATATAAAGCCAAATGCTATTAAATCTGTAGTAAAAGGATTTTAATACTTCATAACATAAATTTAATTTTCCTGCTTAACACATTCAAAAGTATTTACATGAATAAATACCACCTGGTATAGAAATCACTTATATAGAAAAACAATTCTCATTTAAGACTATGAAAAATGTTTATAAGCAAAAATATTTATACCTCTACTATAAAAATTATATCAACATATTGAATAACAACACTATCCACAAAAGTATCAGATAGTCATGTTAAACCCAGAAGAAAACTTCATTAAAACACGTCACTGCTTTATACAGAAATAACAAAGATGTACTAGTTGTAATCAGAAAGGTATTGTTAGGGTGCCTGGGTGGCTCAGTCAGTTAAGCTTCTGCCTTCGGCTCAGGTCCTGATCCCCAAGTCCTGGGATCGAGTCCCTCACTGGGCTCCCCGCTCAATGGGGAGTCTGTTTCTCCCTCTGCCCCTCACCCTACTCTTGTGCTCTCTCTTTCTCAATCAAATAAAGGAAATCTTAAAAAAAAAAAAAAAAGTATTGTTAGAAATGGTCAGAATTTCTCTGCAGATATAAACCTGACAAATACAAATAATATTTAACCTTTGCAAAAATCACATGATGTTATTATGATTATTTTCAACTTACAACTATGAAAACTGAATGTTAGATTAAGATCTGGAAGGGATAGTGCCATGACACAATGTCAAGTCTTCTCTCTCATAGTATTAATGGATTAATGCTGAAGTGATCTGGATTATAATCCAGACTCTACCACTGATTATCTCTGTACCTTTATTTAATAAGTGTCAAAGAAATCATATAACCAATGTGGCCCCATTTCATTACTCTAATGTTACAGTAAGAGTAAACTGAATGTTCCAAACTCGGACTCTTACGGGAGGCAAACAAATACGTGTATAAATGAAGCAGATTACATGGAGATTTCTTCAGTCGAGACAATGTATATCCTGTCTAAAAGTGCTCCTCAATGCTCAGCTCAAATCCATGTTTGTACCATGTTGCCAGTTCTTCAGTATTTTTCAAAAGAAACATGAACTCTGGACACCTTTATAAAATCACCTAATTTGTAATTTAATGCAAATGTTCAAAAACAGTGTGCAGATCAAATATATCAGGCCAAATTTAGCCCATTTTCTACTTTTAAACTAGTATCAGAGAGCCTCCCTTCCTTGAACTTGGACACAAACCACTTATTAAGCATCTACCAATACAAGAGTAACATAATAAATGAAAATTGATATATATTTGGTTATGGCTGGTACTTTTTGTCCTTTAACTGTAAGCACATTTACATATTTTGATATAAGAAATAAGCTAACAAAATTACAGTACTTTGGATTGAACCTTGCCTTCTCTTCCCAATTAAATGGAATATAGAACTTTATCTGCCACCTCAGAGTTTCAAAATTTAATCTGTTTATGTAACTCACAGATTCTTACTTCCTAATCTAGAGGTAACAGTTGGGCTTAACACATGTTCTAGTTTAAAATAAAGATTGTATTTCAGTCCCTCCTGTACTAAAGAAATAGGCAACAACTACAATAAAAAAAAAGAATTTTTTAAAAAGTAATATCTGAATGAAATTATGAGTAAACTATATTAGATAGTAATATTGGCAACATTAAACGAATTTAATTTGCCTTCTTCACTGGTTGCCTTGGTATTAAAAAAAAAAACATTTTAATAGGCATTTAGGTAGAATTATACATACTCAAAATGTTTAATATTTGTTTCTAATCCAATCATTTTCAAGTAAAATTTCACAAATAAAATTTGATTATTTACTTATGTTGCAAAGCACTGATCAAAAGAAAGATTTAATTATCTTGAAGGAGTAAAACAGCAGTTAGTTTGTAGAAATAAAAGTATTTAATTGAGGGAATTTGGGAGAAGAGTTGATAGGACATTAAAACACTAGAGAAAAAGGAGTGCCTGGGTGGCTCAGTGGGTTAAAGCCTCTGTCTTCGGCTAGGGTCATCATACCGGGGTCCTGGGATTGAGCCCCACATCGGGCTCTCTGCTCAGCAGGGAGCCTGCTTCTCCCCTACCCTCTCTCTGCCTGCCTCTCAGCCTCCTTGTGATCTCTGTCTCTCAAATAAATAAATAAATAAATAAATCTTTTTAAAAATAAATAAAAATAAAACACTAGAGAAGAAGATCAAACGAGGAAGAGGAGAGTCAAGGAGTTGGATGCCCCACATCGGGCTCTCTGCTCAGCAGGGAGCCTGCTTACCCCCTCCCCTCTCTCTGCCTGCCTCTCAGCCTCCTTGTGATCTCTGTCTGCCAAATAAATAAATAAATAAATAAATCTTTTTAAAAATAAATAAATAAAAATAAAACACTAGAGAAGAAGATCAAATAAGGAAGAGGAGAGTCAAGGAGTTGGATGACCCAAGGGCAGATTGGAGTTTAATCATGTAGAGTAGTGGTGCTTCCTTATGCTGATGACATCATACTGAGAAAAGCAATGTGTAAATTATGGGAATAGCAACTGCAGGAAGAGGAACACAGGCTCTAGCCAGTAAAGTTACCTTATATTAAGGAATATTTTGGATTTGACAAAACAAAAGTAACAAAAGCAAAAATAAACCAGTGGACCAATGGACTACATCAAACTAAAAAGCTTCTGCATAGTGAAGGAAACCACCAACAAAATGAAAAAGCAAGGTATCAAATAGGAGAAAATATCTGCAAATCATATACCTGATAAGGGGTTACTATCCAAAATATATAAAAAACTCATATAACTCACATCAAAAAAAATCTGATTTAAAAATGGGCAGAGGATCTGATAGTCATTTTTCCAAAAAAAGACACATTGATGGTCAACTGGCACATGAAAAAATGCTCAGGATCACTAATAAGGGAAATGCAAATCAAAACCACCACTCTAACCCTAACCTCAAATCTGCTGGAATAGCTATTATTGGTTACTACCAAAAAGACAAAATATATAACAAGTATTGTCAAGGATATGGAAGAAAGAGAATCCTTTTGCACTGTTGGTGGGTATGTAAGTGCAACAACTATGAAAAATAGTATGACATATTCTCTAAAACTTAAAAAAAGAGGGGCACCTGGGTGGCTCAGTCTGTTCAGAGTCTGATTCTTGGTTTTGGCTCAGGTTATGGATTTGGGGTCTGGGATTGAGCCCGACCTTGTGTTCCACACTCAAGTGGAGTCTGCTTGGGATTCTCTCCCTTTCCCCCCACTCCTCCCCTCTCCCCCTCACACAAACACATACAAGCATGCACGTGTGTATGATCGTTTACTCTCTCTCTCTCAAATAAATTTTTGAAAACTTTAAAAAGTTTATAAAAAAACTTAAAGATAGAACTACCTACCATATAACCTAGCAATTCTACTTCTTGATATTTAGCCAAAAAACCCCAAAAACATTAATTCAAAAAGATATATGTATCCCCATGTTCAGTGCAGCATTATTTATAATAATGGATAAAGAAAATATGGTGTGTGTGTATAAACACACACACACACACACACACACACACACACACACACAAAGGGATGTTATTCAGCCATAAAAAAAATTAAATCATGCCATTCGCAACAACATATAGACTTTAAGGGTATTATGTTAGGTGAAATAAGTCAGACAGAGAAAAACCAATACTATATGACCTTACATATATGTGGAATCTCAAACAAAGAACTCATAGATACAAAGAATGATCAGAGGTGGAGGTTGGGGGTAGATAAATTGGTGAGGGTAGACAAGAGTATAAACCTCTACTTTGAAGATGAGTAAGTTCTGAAGATAAAATATACAAAATGTTGATTAGATACTTTATTGTATATATGTAAATTGCTAAAAGAGTAGATTTAAAAGTTCTCAGTACACACTAAAAATTATAACTATGTGAGTTGCTGTATGTGTCAATTGTGGTCATCATTTCACAATATATACATACATCAAATCATTACCTTGTATGTTTTAAACTAATACAATGTTGTGTCAATTATATCTCAGTAAAACTTGAATAAAAGCTTTGAAATTTAAAAAAGTAAAAATGACTGTATTGTCAGTTTTATACAGTGCAAAACCATTAGGTTCAAAATCAGCTAGACTTAACTCTGAATCCTAACTCTATCACTGACCGGATGTGCATCCATCCACAAGTTATCTACCTCTCATCTGTTACACACTTAACAAGTAAAAATAGAGTACTTTGAACAATACAAGGACTTTTAAAAAAGCAACTCAAAATGGTAGCTGCTATTATTGTGTCCTTTTCTACTTGGTATTATACAAATTTTTCTATGTTCAATATTTTTTCATAAATGTCACTCATAAAACATTTACTATAAATTTTATGTAATGGCATATTACACTTATGATAGTGAACATTCAGATATCTGTAACATAGTTGCTAATGAGGCAAAGCCTCATTGGGTAGAACCCTAATCACCTAAACTGGAATTACTTAACAAGAATATCAGAACATATTCCAGAATACTGTGAAACTCAACCAAATTAAGTTTATCTAATTACTACAAGAGCAGAGTTGTTATTTTCTAATACTAACATCTGAAAACTTCATCAATGCCAAGAATATAGCCATTTTCCATTGAAATTATGTAAGAATAACATATATATGACAACACCTATTGCTCTTCCAGGATCTCTATGTGACAAGTATTGCTGATTTTAGTAGGGAAAGACATTGCAACATTCTATGAATTATATTTCCTGACATATA